CTAGTTCTTTTCTAGAACTTCTGTTTTAAAACAACTTCAACCTGAAGATTTTCTTACAGAATGAACACAAAACATTTTTCTGAGCCTCTGAAGCAGAAAGAGACATGAAATAAAATCATCTGACAGTTTAAATAGATCCTCGTCTTCTTCGTCTTCTTCGTCTTCCTCGTCTTCCTCGTCTTCCTCGTCTTCCTCGTCTTCTTCGTCTTCCTCGTCTTCTTCGTCTTCCTCGTCTTCTTCGTCTTCCTCGTCTTCCTCTCGTCTCTTACAGACGGAGTCTTGGTCTAAATCTTTTTTTTTCCATCCTTGTTTTTATCAATAAAGTTCTTCTCTAATCGGTTTTAACATCACCTCCCCTGTTTCAACGAATCATGACGTGTAACTTCAGTCACATGTTTCGAAAGCGATGACGTCACTGAAAACCCACGATTGGTTCTCATCGGTCACGTGATGTCACTGTTTCAGGGACCTGGACTTCTCCGACTGCCTCCTGAGGAAAAATCTGTCCAATGGGGAGCCTCCGAGCTGCTATGACCTCATCGCTGTGTCCAATCACTACGGAGGACTCCGAGATGGACATTGTAAGGTCCTTTATGTATATTCGTGTGTATTTGTACATGTACTTATATTTGTGAACAGTTGATCTTGTTAAAATACTAGTTAGTATTAATAACATGATCCTAACATTATTTTTGAATCCCGGGGTATCGTGTTTGTTGACGCTCCGTCTGTCCACAGCCTCAGATCACGTCACCTTGAACCTTTTGATTTGTTCACTTTAGACACCAGCTACGCCAAGAACAAGGACAACGGGCAGTGGTATTACTTTGACGACAGCAAGGTGACGTACGCCAGAGAGCCCCAGATCGTGGTCAGTCTCCTCCACATGAGAAATGTTTGAGCCGTATTGACGTGACGTTCTCTCAGTGACGGTAGTTTTCCTCCCACAGACCAACGCTGCCTACGTCTTGTTTTACCACCGACAAGACAAAATCAGAAAACCCACTCTGCCCCCTCCCAGCACAAGCCCCGCCTCCTCCACTCCCCAGCCCGCCAATGACGCCATCACTTCCTGTAAGGACGACAACGCTGAGCTGGGCGCTTCCTCGTACGTCACCATGGAAACAGACTAAACGAAAAGATTGAGTTTTATTCTACTTTCTGGTAATTAGTTGTTTTTTTTACTTCATCAGGCCTTTTGCTCTTTTTTTAATTTCACTGTTTCTCATCAACACTTGAACTTGATTTGACTCTGACCTGATTATCTTTAATCCTCGTTAACAATCAGCCGCTCATCATCATCATCGGTGTTAAATTAGTTCCACAAAGAAAACGAATTAAATCATCCATTCGATTTTTAAGTAATATTTGGAAATTAATATTAAAGGCTTTTAAATGTCATGGTTCAGTTTTACACTTTTAACTTCACACAGAAGCCAAACACGGTATTCAACGATTGTTTACGTCATTAAATATTTATTGATCATAAGATTCAGTTGAACATTTTTTTAGTAAAATATTTTAACACCATTTCATTATAATCTAAAAGATTTGAAGCAGATTTAAACGTGCGACTTTACATATCTTCAAATTAAAGTCGCAGAGTTAACACAGTTTACGTCCGTGAGGTTTTACCGTTCAACTGAATTCAAAAGAAAACTGTTATTACAGTGGAGCCGTGCGATGGGGATTATGGGTAATCAGCAGTGTTTATAATAGATTATATTAGACGAAGCTGCCAGGGATAATAAGTCTTTCTTTGTATATTTTGAAAGTTTCTTTCCTTTATTTATTTTTAATTGACTAAATTCAGCAGTTTTATTTTTCCTCATTGATTTTATCGATCGACTGGTGCAGGACATTAAGATGCTTATTTTTTGTATTTATAGATAAACATTTGTAACCAGACAGAATGACAGGTTGAATTTTCTTTTCCGGTCTGAGCAGAGAGACGGACGCAGGTAAAGTTTTCTCTCTGTGGTCAGTGAGCGCTTCATTTCTTCAAACCTGCTGTGTACAGTATTTTTATATCATGTAAGAAATGTATTATTATCATTCCTGGGTGGAGCCGGAGGGAAGCTTGGGGCGATTTCTTTCTTTGGTCTTCCCTGTCAATTATCAGATGAAAATATTTTATTGTACTTTCAATTGTTTTGATATGAATAAAAGGGTTATTATCACAATGAGACGAGTTACGTTATTGACTCAAACTAAAGACTCGACGACCTTCTCGCCAGGTTCATGGAGAAGTTCCGCATAACACAGACGAGAGAAACCCAGTTAGTTGAGATGGCACCTTTATTTCACTTCGCTGTGGTAGAAACGTACACGCAAAAAAAGTTCTGTAGAATGAAAACATCAACGCCTGCTGTCGCTCAAAGATCTTTTGTCGTCTCGAAACGTCCCAGTCATCTTTCAACGCTGCGTCTGATCCCACCAACGTCTTCCTGAGAGGATTCATCCCATTCAACCGCTTCACTGGAACAAACCAGTTTTCTGGAACATTTGTTCAGCGATGAAGAGGATTTTAAAAACTTTCTGTTCTGGAACACAAACAACACAAAAACTACATTCGACATCTGATCTATTCTGTGATTCTTCCCACGTGGAGCTTCACTTCGTCTGGACGCTCACAAAGAGGCAGACGTGACGTCTCTGGTCCTGAAGACTCATTCAGACAGATTCGTTTATTTAAATCTAGAGTTCGTGTCGACCGTGTTCCAGAAAAGAATCAGTTTCTACCCGTGACCTCCGTTCTGCTGACGGTTGTAGAAACGTTCAGATGTCGCAGCGCTCGTCCTCGTCGTCCTAGAACAAGGTCGACTTGACGTCCTGGCTGAAGAAAGTTCCAAAGTTTAGGTCTCTGGACATCAGCTCCTCTTCCACGTTCTCTAGCGCCCACTTGTGTTCAACAATCTCCAGCGCCTCCCACTCGCTCTGATGAGGACAAAGACAAAGAGGCTCATTTACAAGAGTCGCTGTTTTAGTTTGAAAACTCCAGAGCTGTTTGAGTCTGGACAACAGAAATGTTTGGAAACAGTTTGTATGCATGTGTTTTCAGACGTGTCAGTGTGGACGGGGATTAGAACTGATACAGAACCAAAACACTAATAAAACTAAAACGTGGATGTTCTGGAAACAGACGAAGACCCGATGACGTAAAAGTTATGTTGTTCAACGTCAAAGTAACGTGAACAAACATCTGCACACGTTTCTTAAATCTCTCGTAGAATTCGTGTGAGTTCTCACCTTCATGAAACTGATTTCTGAGATCAAACTAATAAAATGAACTTTCACCGTTCGACTGTCATTTCTCACCTTAAAAGCTTTGTTGGGGTCGGGGGGCATCGCCATGGCAGCACCCGTCATCTGCTCCTGCATGACGCGCGACTGGTCGGCGGCTGTGACACATTTAAAAGAGGCAGTCGTCGTTTTATCGAATCCAGGTTCAAGTGTTCGTCCGTTCATTCACAGAAAACAGATCGAACAGTAAACGAAGGAGGTCGAAGGTCAGACTCACCGTTGTCTTGTCCCAGAATGAGGCTGTACATGCTCCTCAGTCCAAACACGTTGAGGAAATACCAGGAGGCCGAACTCACCCTGTCATCACACGAAGGTTTGAAATGAACAACTGTGGATTTCATCTCAGCGTCAGAGTGAAGCTACGGAAGCGTATCGCAATAACTTGAAAAAAAGTAATTTTTTTTGGTTTGTTTTTTAGAAAAAACTAATTTTTTTCAGTCTTTTGACTCATTGTCTTTTTTTCTGTTTTTCTTATAAAAAAAAATTGTTTCTGTTTTTTGGATTCATTTTC